ACACACACACACACACACACACACACACGACACACACACACACACACACACACACACACACATATATATATATATATATATATATATATATATATATATATATATATATACCATCCCATGTTACACCACAGACTAGCGACCCGACTCATTCACCTCGCACCCCTCCATCGCACAGAGGAAATGAAGGACATTCAAGTCCTGCAGGCTGCCTACCTCACAACGGAAGATGAGAACGTGAACCTCTTCCCCCCTTGAGGATTTTAAGGAGAGAGCTCTGGCAGATCCTCAGTTTCAGGCGCTACTCAAAGCACTCCACTGCAGCCCACCCATGGCCACAGCCGAGTACTGGCACTTTGCCAGCCGTTCAGGTATGGTTTGTTGTATGAGTTGGCTGTGACAATGTGAACTGTAGCTTCAGACACCTTTCGTAAATTTGCATAATTTATGTATGCTGAGTGGAAGGATAGCGTTCTCGTATCTGTATAAGGCGTGGCATTAGGCACTTCACTGGAGCCCACCCAAAGTTACAGCCGAGTTTTGGCCCATTGCGCGCCGTTCGGATATACATGATTGGATCGGTTGTCTGCGGCGAAAACGATACTACCAGATAAATTATTGTTGTTTATGTCCTTGTTCCTGGGGTTTTGTAAAACGATGAGGATTATGCTGCTTTTGCGCGTGTACGGGTTCGCGCACGTGTGTATATAGTTGTGGGGTTTTACTACTGTGTTATAGCTGACTGATTCTGTATACAATTTCCAGCGTGGGCTGGGGGCTGGGGGGGGGTTGCATGCTTTTATGGGCGAACTGCGTTCGATGTGTGTATGTGTAGTGGTGTAGTCAATCATTTGTGCAGTTTCAGATGCATTTGCGTATGTATTTCTAGTCTACTATATTTACTATTCAGATATCCTATATATGCTGATGTGCTACGTTAAATAGCTGTAGTGCTCGCAACAGTCTCAATGAACACACCGTTCTGTATGTACGCTTTTTGTGTGTGTATGGATTATCATATTGCCTTATGAATCGGTTTAGGTAGTGTGTTGGACTGTGTGTGAGCGCATGATCGGACAAGCGCTTAGACAGGACTGGAGGTCGACTATACGCTAAGACAATGACATCAAAACTGGACGTTGTGTAAATATGTATATCGTTGTTGCTGGATGTCCGCTGGATGTTCCGCCACCTGCGGTGCACAAATCACAAATACATGGAAAAAGCTGGACACGAATTATTATTCACACTTCAGTAGATACAACCACGCGTTATTGCATACAGACTTCAATAGAAAAATTACGCCCTAATGAATACGTGCTTCAGTTGAAACGATCAGGCCCTACTGAATACAGACTTCAGTAGGCTCAAATACACCCTAATGAATCCTTACTTCAGTAGGTTCAATTGCACCCTAATGAATACAGAATTTAGTAGGTAAAGTCACGCCCAATTGAATACAGGTGTCAGTTAGTACATCTGCTTTTGAATACACACTTCAAAAGGCAGTATTATCTTTGTCGAACGATGCAAATACAAGTACAAAATTCATACATAGCGGATGGAACATCACATTGTATTTGGCAAATATCTGTATCATGTACATCCCACAAATCACAAAAGCAACGATACAAATATAAATATAAATATCATATTGAAAGAAACACCGTGTTGTACTTCTCACTACTTGAATCACGTGCATCCTACACACCACAGCATCAGCCATATATATATATATGGTTTTAATTCACACAATGTTACTATTCTTTTTTCGCTTTGACACAATCTTTTAGATGAATGTAAATAGCTATTTCGGTGAGCTATATCATCGCGTAGCGTTCCTTCAAGATATCCGATGCTAATACGGTTGTCAGTGTCTTGTCTGTGCAAACCAACATGTCCTTTACTTATTGTAAATTCCAAACTGTAATAAACACCGACATATCAGCAACGATACAAATACAAGTACAAATATCAGAACGGGAGGAACACCGCAATATACTTCGCAAATGCTTTTATAACGCGCATCTTACACATCATAGATATCAGCAACGACGCAGCGGCGCTGGAGAGAGGTATGGAAGCAGTAGAACGCGCTCCCCAAGACCCAGTAGAAGCACCCGAATCTCCCCAGGCTACCATGGCAACGGATGCCAAGGCCAATGCAGCGAAGGCTACTCAGGTGAAAGGCAATACGAAGCCAAGGAAACGATTGGTACGACGTTCCCAGGTTACGCAAGACAGTGACAGTGAGGATGCGCGGGAAGATGATCAGAGTACCAAGAATTCGGCTGTACCGGTAATGGAGGAAAGCACGCAGACAACACGGGGTAGACCCAAGAGGAGGTTACAACGCCGTGCGCCAGTACAGGATACACCGGATTTAACTGACAGCGAATCAGAATCCGGGGATATTGGAGATAAGGGGCGCAAGAGCCAACCAAAAGACTCACAATTAAGCGGTGGAGAGAGCGGGAGTGAGAGCGAGGCAGACGAGAGGAGGGGTGTTAGGAATGACAAGAAAGCTAGCACACAGACAAGGACCAAGAAAAGGCAACCAAAGAGTACTGCCACAACACGGCCAAAGAGAAATACACAATCCCGGGTGGAGGTACAGCCAGATAATGACTCAGAAAGTGCTGCAGAGGCATCGGCAATAGATGAACTGGAAGATGCAGGTATAGACAAGAAAGTTAGGGGTAGGAATAAGTATCCTACCATGAATGAGACAACGGATACATCGATACGTAAAGGGAAAGAGGTGGAGGACGTTGACCAGGGGCTCAGGAGTGCCTTTGCGGATGTATGGGAAGGCCATGCAGAAGCCATCAAGTGGCTGAAAGGTGCGACACAGAGTGGACTTTTTATTCATATGCAGAGCGGAGTTTGTATTAATATGTAGAGTGTAGTTTGTATTGATATGTAGAGTAGAGTTTTCCTTGACACGGCTATATACATACTGCGTGTTGTGTCGAGGACGTATGTTAGGTGCGTAGTCATATGCTAAGACGGTGGATGTTCCCTGTAGTGGGAAAGTCTACCGCTCTGTGGACGTATTTTTGTGCCTCAGGTGTTTATGTGTGGGTTGTGTATTGATTCGGCACAAATAAGTATTTCTTCGTTCTCAGTAGGTTCCTGCATATCAGTAGGTGTACATTCCTGCTACTAGTATTTGGGCATGTGACTACTCACCCCTAGCATCCATCTACGTATGCGCCATCGCATGTCTTGTGCATATAACTTAAGTATACTCATGTCTTATGTATATCGTTATATACGAACGCTGAAGCCGAGCACAAAAGAAACAGAGCAAACTATCAGGCCTATGCCATATAGGGACGTCTCCCTTGCACTCGTCATTGTAAGGTTTAGAAAAAGTATTCGCTACACGCCCTGATATAATCGCATACCTGCCCAGAGATGACAGGCGCACAGGCAATTGTGTGTATATTTCTGTTATTCACAAGTTTAGTAGTTTTTTTACTCTGTATTGGTATCTGACATCCGCATGTACCAGTGCCTATAGGGCACTTGCACACCATCACAGCTTATTGGTATTGGCCCCACGTCTCAGTTACTTAATTATTTTTAACATACGACCAATAGAATCATCCACTAACCCTTACCATCAACCAATCAAAACGCACCCACAGAGGAGATGGGCGATATCCGTACCATGCAGCAGAGCAACCTCGACTCACCCGACGATAACATTGAGCTGTTCCCACTGGAAGACTTCCAGGAGAAGGCGCTGGCGGACAAGGCCTTCAACGCCATGCTCAGGTGCCTCAGTTACAACCCCCCTGACGACCAGTGCGAATATTGGCACTACAAGAACGGTACAGGTAAGGGCTGAATCTGTGCTCTGTGGGTACATTTGATCTCAGAATATCATAGTCCTGTTTGTGCATATCAAGTATTTTTTGTGTACATGATAGTACTGTTTGTGTATATGGCAGTATCTGTTTGTGTAGATCATATGATAATACTGTTTGTGTATATGGGAGTATCTGTTTGTGTAGATCATATGATAGTGCTGTTTGTGTATGTCATATCATAGCACTGTTTGTGTATATTATAGTACTGTTTGTATATATCGTAGTACTGTCTGTGTATTACTTGTGTATATCGTTTATAGTACTGTTTGTGTATACGTAGGTGTGTGTAGATGTTTGTGGCAACCGCTAGTCGACCTCCTCACCGGACCTCCAGGAGAAGGCAGTGCCACTGCTTGTGTTGTATGATAGCACTGGGTGTCAGTATACATGCGTGTGTCGATGGCTTTCCATAGGCACGTGTTTACTTCTGCATCTGATCTCTCACCGGTGTATTTTCACGTCACACACCCCCTGCGCATCGTCGCGTTCAATACGTGAACTTAATATATATATA